TCTCCGTAAGTTACCCATATTCACCTCAGGCTCACTGTGCACCCTAGGCTGGCACTAGTCTCTCAGCCTCTCACCAGACCTTGTCCCTGCCATGTTCACTTTCTTCAATCATTTCTTTGAATGTATATGGGCGTCTTGCTTGTATATACGTCTGTCTCGACCTCCTAACCCTGAGCCGGAGTTACAGACAGACACCAGGCTTGTGGATACTGGGGATCTGAACATAACGCCTCACACTAGCAAGGTGAGCCCTTGACCAACGGAGCCACTACCTTGCCTTTGCAAAGGGAATTTTTCAGAAAATCACAAGTATATAAAGCAAAAATATTCAAATATAGTCACTGCAGGGATACATGTTTACCATGCCCTCATAGTGGTCTACGTTTGAGTGGTTTCATCATGATGATAGCAATCAGTGCTGGAAGCCTATTTATGCTGTTCAGGCCACTCCTCCCCAGTCATCATATTTTAGAGACAGGAAAACTGAAGCCTGCAGTGGTGGGTGGGGGTGGGGTGGGGATGGGGTAGGGAGGCCGGATGAGCAGCAATTCGGTGGAAGATGGGACCAGGCAGGTGGCAGGGAGTTGGGATCAGCTCCCCAATAGAGGCCGGGGGATTCAATTTGGTCCCTCCTCTACCTGATTGTAACCATGGAAACCAGGTCAACTTGCATGGCTGGACCAGCAGCCAAACTTAGCTTCTGTTGGAGGCTCAGTTGGCTAGGGATGCCCAGGTGTGAATCTGGGAGCCAGTTTCCCTGGAGATAATGAACCGTGGTCCCATCCCACCAGGTCCCTGCTGCTTCATGACTAGGACGTTGACAAATTCTGCATTCTGTTGCAGTGGTTGCCCGAGAAGAATTTGTTGAGCACCTCCTTGCTTCTTTCAATGCTCCGGTGTGTTTAAGATGGGTATGTGTTTCTAAAGGGACTCACAGAGTCTTAGCCTGATGGGTCCTAAGAAAGAACACTTCAAATCCTTTCAGTGTGGGTGTGAACTTCAGCATGCACCCTCTTTTAATGCTTTATTTAGTTTTATCTTATTTTGAATGATGTGTTTATGTGTGTGTTCGGATGTGGGTATGTGTATGTGTAAGTACAGGTACCCACAGAGTACAGAAGAGGGTATCAGATCCTTGGAACCGGATCTACAGGAGGTGTCAAGCCACCTAGTGTGGGTGCTGGGAACTGAACTCTGGTCTGCTGCAAGAGTACCAAGAGTTCTTAAACACTGAGCCGTCTCTCCAGCCTGACTGTTAGACATGGTCTGGATCCAGTTCCTTTGCTTAGTGGACACACCTTGTGCAGAGGAGTGAATTTGTCTAAGCTTCAGTCTTCTGCTTTTTGATGGCAATGGTGATGGTCTGGCTGCCTCACAGGGGCTATGGGTAGTTTTCAGAAATACAAGGCACAGTGAACCACAGACATTACTACAGTTGTAGCAGCAAAATAGAGCAGTATGTGTTTGTGTATTTGTTTGTTTAAAATAGGGTCTCACCTAGCCTAGGCTGACTTTTTTTTTTTTTGAGACAGGGATTCTTTATGTAGACCAGGCTGACCTGGAACTCACAGAGATCCTCCTGACTCTGCCTCCTGATGCTGCAATTAAAGGCTGTGCCACGGTGCCCAGGCTGGCCTTGCTATATAACTAAAAATGACCTTGAATTTCTGATCTCCCTCCCTTCCTGTACTTCCCGAGAGCTAGGATTACAAGTCAATATTTCCCCCCCCCCCCACCCTGGTTTTCTCAGGGCTGGGGCTTGAACCCAGGGCTTTGTATACCCTAGGCAAGTAATCTACCAGCTGAGCCACATCCCCAGTATCACGGGATTTAAGTGTTCTGTGGTCCATGTGTTCTCACTTGCTGTATTTCCCTATATCCAGGTTTGCACATGTAATGCACATCTCTAACAGCTATTTTGTTGTTGTTTTGTTTGTTACAGTTAATGTTTTATAAATGGGGCTGTGCGGGCCGACCATCTAAGCGGTGGCGGCTCTGCCTAGCTCAGGAAACAGCCAGAGGCCACAGGTGTGCCACAGCTAGAAACGGCCAGCCAGAAACATCAGCCCTGGCACCCACGAGATGCCAGCGTGGGAGATGGCTCTGCCAATCTTCCACACTGTCTCCACACGGCTGGGCTGAGCCCAGACCATCCCGCCATCCACGCGGTACCCGGTAGAAATGAGACTCTAATGTTTAAAGATTATCCAGTAACTTTATATATTTGGTAATGCTAAAATAACAAGAAGCCCACACAATTAGAGGTGTGGCCCAGTACCCAACCTAAATATATCAACTACCTTTGACTGCTGGAGATATGCGTACATCCGCTGCCATTTCCCCACTCTCTCCTCCTTTTTCCTCCTAGCTCCTCCTTCCTTCTCCTTCCTCCCACATTAGCTCCTCCCAAAGTACTGAGTTTAATATAGCGGGAAATATACCACTACATTTGTTTTTCTCCAAAACTGTGTTTATTGAGATGGTTCCCCCCCAAATCAAG